GATCAAATCCAGGTCCTCACCGTGCTAGGTAATACTCTACCGCTGAGCCACAACCCCAGCCCTAGTGAGACCCTTTCTCAAAAACTAAATGGGCTAGGGATGTAACTTAGTGGTAGAGAGCCCCTAGGTTCAGTTGCCAGTACTGAGGGTAGGGGTCAGAAAGATGGGGGGAGGGATAAAGGAAAGTGCAGAAGAGCAAGTAATCTTTGTTGTCTGTGTGAAAGAAAAAATTGGAGTTAGGCATGATGGCACATACCTGTAATCCCAGTCACTTGGGAAGGAGTCAGCTGAGAAGGAAGATCATACATTTGAAGCCAGCCTCAGCAATTTAGTGAGAAATAAATAATAAAGATTGAAATGTAGCTCAGTGGTAAAGTGTGGCTGGGTTCAATCATGTGTGAGGCACCGAGTTTGATCCTCAGTACCACATAAAAATAAATGAATAAAAGTATTGTGTCCATCTACAACTAAAAATTTTTTTAAAAGAATATACAGATGTATCTACTTATATATTACAGAATGACTCTAGAAAGATTAAGGGGAAACAGAGCAAGTCTGGGGCCAGTTATACATATTCATCTTTTGCATGCTGTTTTTCTTCCAGTCGTAATGCCTAAGAACTCCTCAAATTCCTTTGAGCTATCCTTGAGCTCAGATGAGCTGAAACTCACCATTCCTAAAAGGCTCACACAGGAACCTGGCTGGGTCCCACTGCTTGAAGCCCTGTCCCTTGCTCCTCTTGGTACCTGCCTTAGAGGCAGTTTCTGGGCAGAATATCCACTCTGTTTCCTGGACTTTGCAGCTACACAGCTTCCCCCTAGCTGACTGGGGACTGCCCTCTTTGGATCTCTGTCCTAGCCAAACCCACTTCCCAGCCCTCCGATGCCTACGCCCATTTTAATGTCCATCCCCCCGCTTTTCTTTTCTTTTTTTTTTTTGTACCAGGGATTAAACCCAAGGATGTTTAACCAGAGTCACATCCCCAGCTGTCACAAGCCACCCATAGGCTGTGTGTATGAACTATGCATATTGGAGCTATAAGGGAACAGGTCTGGCATTGCACGCTGATTGGTCTGTGTGATATAAGTGTGCCTCTCCCCTCACTCTGTGATCCCACATAGTACCTGAAATGGGTGTGACTTGCCAAGATGTCAATCAATCTGCTGACATCACAAAGCAAGACTCCACCTTTGAAATCTTATCCCCTGCCTTATTTGGTGAAGAACATTCCATTGAATCTCTTTTATGGGTGCCCCCCCATAAAAATAAAGAGATTCAGGGTGCATGCTCTTTCCAATGCCTTTCAGCATAGAAGTTGACCCTTAAGGTTGCAGAGCCATCTTATCCTCAACATGAAAAGTACTTCTGTATTGTGTGATTTCTCAACATTTTCTTAGCTTAATGTTGCAGCCAGCTCTTTTGAACCCAGCTCATCTTGTCAGTGCGGGCAGCTGGCGAGACCCAGTCCTTTTAATATTTTTGAGAAAGGGTGTCACCAGGTTGCTTACAGCCTTGCTGAATTCCTGAGGCTTTGAACCTGCGATCCTTCTGCCTCAGCCTCCAGAGATGCTGGTGTGCCACCATGCCCGTTTGTAGAGCCTGGCACTCCTATGCCTCTCTTCGGGTTACAAGGACACAGGTTACTTAGGGCTGAAAGTCTAAGACCTGAAATGGCAAATGCAATGGTCCCAGGAACTGCGCGGGAGAAGGGTAACTCTGTTGCTGGGCCTCACCTCAATCTCCATCACTTCCTACTCTCCACCCCACCCCACCCACCCAGCAGCCACTACTGGGACCCTCAACCAGGAGAGAGGCAGATGTGCCAGTTCTGCCAGGTTCCAGAGGCAGCCGAACCCTGCAAAACCCCATCTCTGAGGTCCTTCAGTTCTGTGGACGCCAGGAGTCAAGCGCATTGGAGTACACAAGACCAGTCAAATCCATTCTGGAGTCTGAGGCAGACCCAGAAAGAACTGGGCCTCCAGAGCTTGATTGCTCTCCATCCTACGTAGGGTTGCCCTTTCCCCACCCCAGTCCAGGCCAGGGTACTTCTGTTTCACCCCATCCAAATGCAATGTCAGCCTTCCTGGTACCAAGTTCTTGAGGTCCCCACATCTTGACTACCACCAGCAGGGACAGACAAGTCAATCTGGGGCCAAGGGGCTGAGTTTAAGAGGTCTGGAGGACAAGGAGCCCGGCACAAGAACCAACCAGTGAGTTCGGGGGTCCAAGTCCAGGTGATGCAGCAGTGCCAAGATAGGTGTATCAGTGGAGGTACTGAGCACGCCTTCAAGGACCCTGCATGTGGCAGCCCACATTCAGCACAGTCCTCCTCATACCATCCCAGTTTAGCTGGCACACTGCACTGCAGATGGATGGTGCTCAGGTCCATGCGGACCTTGGGGTCTCCTCCTCTCGCTCCCAATAAAGGCAAGTGGGAATAAGGAGAATTGCCTGGACAAAGTACCTTGACCCCGCACAGGGCCAGGATCCAGCAACAGTGGCCGCACTCCCAGTTCTCTGGTTGGGCTAGTTCAGAGACCTGCAGATCTCAGCGGTGCCCTAAAACATCATCTGGCAGAATATGACTACAGCCCCTTGGAGATAGTTTCCAGGAGCCTGAAGCAGCATAGAATGAAGCGATTCACTGGCACAGTTGTTCTCAAACCTCACTGCCATTTTTAAAAACCTCCAGTGCCCAGATTCATGAAATCAACACAGTGCTTGCTGGAGGGCCAGTGGTGTTAAAGGCAGAGGGGTGAGGTCCTGACAATCTGGATCAAAAAAAGAGAAAGGCACATTAAGACAGCAAGGCAGTTCCTGGCCTGGATTCCCTGTACTTATGTGCAAGCAAGAATTTCTCTGGAACTGGACTGGGCTTACTGCAAACAGTGTGCATGTGTGCAGGCACAATAGTAGGGATTGAGCCCAAAGGTGCTTCATCACTGAGCTACATCCCCAGCCCTTTTTCTTTTTGACAAGGTGCTGCTGGATCTCAAGAGCACAACAGAGCTTAAGGTAGTGCAGCTCTTGTGAACCTCCACTGATACACCTGCCCTCAAGGGAGAACCAGTTTGTATGGTTTTTGTGAGAGAAGCCTAGAGGTGTCAAGGTTTCTAACTCTGGTCACTGGCCTCTGAAGTTAATGCTACCTCGCAGCAGGGAGACAGGTGGAGGGAAAGCCATACATTAGATCCACTTCCAGGGATTGGCATACAGGAAACCCAAAATTGTTGGCCAAGACATACCTCTCCAAACAAACTTCTTCATAGGTGTCTCTGGAGTATTATTTCTTCCAGAAAAACTTCACAGTTTTGATTTTTAGTCATGATTTGCTGGTTGGAGTGGCACACACCTGTAATCCCAGCAACTGGGAGGCTGAGGCAGGAGGCTCACAAATTCCAGGTCAACCTCAGCAACTAAGCCAGACCCTGTTTCAAATTTTTAAAAAAGGCTGGGATAGCTCAATGGTAAAGTGCCCCTGGGTTCAATTCCCAGTACCAAACAAAACAAAAAAACTGGTTCACAAGGCTGAGGTAAGAAGATAACCAGTTCAAACCCAGTCAGAGCAACTTAGCCAGGTGAGCAACTTAGCAAGACCCTATCTCAAAATTTAATTTTTTTTTTTAAAGGGAGGTGGGGCTGGATTTGTGGCTCAATGGTTAAGCACCCCTGGTACTATTAAAAACAAAAAACTAAAAACTGGGTGTGTAATTCAGTGGTTTCAATCCCTATATTTTAGCAGCATACAGACTGGCACCGAGATTTTACCATAAGAAAATTTGGATTTTTCAGCATGCACAATAATAGCACACACCTATAATCCCAGCAATTTGGGAGGCTGAGGTTAGAAGGATTGCTAATTTTGAGGCCTGCTGTGGCACTTAAGGAGCCCCTGCCTCAAAGTAAAAAAGAAAAAGGGCTGGGGATGTGGCTCAGTGGTGGAACAATCCTGGACTTAATCCCTAGTATTGTGTGCATGCACACATACACACACATAAAATAAGGACTTCTCAATACTAATAGTCACCAGAATAAAGGGAAGTCAAAGATAACAGGGATGTGGGGGACAGAACCCTGGCTGAAGGATATATAAGCCTTTAAAGGAGGTCAGAGGGCTCACCAACACCTCAAGTGTCCCTTGAAGTTCCCTCAAAGTTCATCAGGAGGATCATATTTAACAGAAACAGAAAAGGATTTGTATTTAAGAAAGCCAGACAGGATAGGTCAGGTTGCACATGCCTGTAATCCCAATGGCTTGGGAGGCTGAGGCAGGAGGATCATGAGTTGTAAGCCTGCCTTAGTATCTTAACAAGACCCTAAGCAACTAAGCAAGACCCTGTCTCTAATTCTAATAAAATATAAAAAAGGGCTAGGAGGGGCTGGGGTTGTGGCTCAGTGGGAGAGTACTTGCCTAATGTGTGAGGCACAGGGTTCAATCCTTAACACCACATAAATAAATAAGTAAAATAAAGGTATTGTGTCTATCTACAACTAGGGCTGGGAATGTGGCTTAGTGTTTTAAGCACCCCTGGGTTCAGTCCCCAGTCCCCCCCCCCAAAAAAAAAAGCTGAACAAATATCCTTCCCCGCCTAGGATAGGGCTACTTGCTTTCCAGGACTTCTGCTTGAAACCATTTAATTCTGGTTAGCTTATGCTCAACAAATAGTTAACAGAAGCCTTCAGATATGGGTCCCCAGAAGGAAAAACACCCCAAAACACCCAATTTCTCCATGGTGGTACAACACACAGGAACCACTGCCTCAAGAATGAGCACCAGGCTCTCCTATAGCACCCACTATACCCATACAATGGGAAAAGATTCTTTTTCTCTTTTGGAGAGAGGAACCAAATATCAGAGTTTGGGAAAGGGGGTGCTTTTGTGTGGCAGTGGCAGCAGCACAGGGGGAGGAGGGCTCTGAGGAACACAAGGGATTTCACCATTGCTTAACGGCTGGGGAACTTGGTAGGAGCTGACTGAGTAGACACTGAAACACCAAAGCTGCCACCACCACCGGCTGATGCAAATTTTATTGAGACAATGTACAAACAGGCCATGGAAACAAGGGTTTTGATGCTGGGACCAGAAACGTAAAATGGAATACAAAAATAAAAAGGCACTAATCTGTTAAGAAAAGACACTCAATGTATTCTAAGAATATAAGTCATTTAATACTGTTAATTTTATAGCACAAAATAAAACAAGCTATGATCCCCAAAAATAATTTTAAAAGCTTACAGAGAAAATATTATTGCCTGAAGTTTATGATCTTTAAGTTACAGGTCAAAAGAGTTTTACGTTGTTGTTTTAAAACACACAGTGAAGACCGTCAGGAAGCAAGGCCACTGTTCCTCCTGCAGGGACAACGATCCTGTCTCAGAGAACTGTCCTTCTACTCCTTTAGAACATACAACCAGCTCAGTGTTCACACTGACAGCAGTTACCAGGGACATGGCTCTCCGGTCCCAATGGGTGGAGTTTGAGGCAGAGCTCAGTGATGTCCACAGAAAGCATTAGTCTTAGGTACTGTGTTAAAACAATCAAGAATTCACTCATTTTAAGAGGTTAATGAACATAATATTAAAGGATTAAATTATAAACACCTGGCACAAAAACACATCATCCCTTTTCTAAAAATAAAATGTTCATATTCCTCTGAGCAAATGTTACAAGAGCAGTGGCCGTCTTGTTTCAGGCCTGTCTTGTCTGTAAACAGCTGTAAAGGAAGGCCAGCACAGTGCCAGGGGTGCAAAGATCCAAGGAGGGTGCAGCAGTCCTTTCCTCCTTTCCATGAGCACAGAAGGTGTTGAGTCTGGGCGGCCAAAGTCACCAACAGCAGCTGATCAATGCACCCTCTTTGTTAACCATGTTGTCAGGTGGTTACCAAACAGCGCACAAATAATAAGGATGACTCCTGTAGTGGAGGTCCTTTCCAGGACAAGTAAGTTTTTAATCAGACTATCAATACCTTCTAGTACATAATTTGTTTCCTTCCCAGGTGAAAAATCATAGTGAGTTAATTTAAATTATTTTCCATTAACATCTTCTACAACACAGGAAAGCAGAGCAGGTAACAATAATGAATAGTTAAAAAAGGAAGCCCACCCCTGCATCAAATTTGCAGTGCTCTATGAAGCATGAACATTTTCCTAGACTAGTGAGAACCAAGGCACTGAAGCCAGGGCAAAGGTGCTGCTTTCCACTATTTGGTGTGAAAAATAGAATTTCTCCACCTAATTAAAAAAACAAAACAAAACTGATAAGGTTCTCAAGTCAAAAAGTTACTACTTTTGGCACACATCTTGAGAGCTCAGAACTCAAAAGACCTATTCTGGATTGAGCTCTCAATCTCCTAGGTAACCCTGGAGACATTTATATTGGCTAAAGTAATTCTTTATGGAAACAAACTCCATGTTTGTGGAGTGTTTTGATTCTGAAGCACATCCTACAGGGTGGATCTTGCTATTGGTCGGTAGACCTGGCTGAAAGGAAACCCTGCTTTCTAAAATGGCCATTTACTACTTGTACTCGGAGCCGACTGTTACAATCAAAAGGTGACAAGCCCTTCAGCTATATCTGTTTTTAAAAGTTCTTAGGGTTTGTGCCCTCTTTGATCAAGGCTAGACACTCCACTCAGATGCAGGAGCCAAGAAGGCAGGGTGGAACCAGGTCATGGGCTGAAAGGCAAGCAGTATTTCTAGGCAGTGTAGGGATTTTGTCATACTCCCACTACCTGTGGGTGTAAGGCTGAGCCTGAACTTAGAACAAGCCCACTAAACGGACTTGGCCAGAAAAGGCAACTGTAAGAGGTGGCCACATTTCTCATTGGGTAGGAAGCTGATCTCTTAAGCATTTTCTAGGAAAACCAGACAGACAGCCACAGTGGTATTTTTTCCAACTGATTGTTATTTTGTCACAGGAAGACTCTTAAGATTCTTTAATATGGCAGTTATCAGCCTGATTTAAAGACAAAGTAATAAAGAAATGGAAAACTGGTTGTTTTGCTGATTCTGTCACCAGAATACATTACTCTGAACCTCAAAACCTAAGCGCTTCCAGAGATAGGGCTATAGTTGCAGCAGATGCCCCATAAATGCTAGAATTACTCTTTAGGTTGCTGCTACATTTCTGCAGTATTCACTTTGAGCTGAGCTTGTCTTCATTAGGGTCCAGAGGGAGAGCAGAATGAACTACGTAAAGGTTCCAGAATTCTTATCTGTCATGCTCAGCAGACATCAGTCCCACACTTGTACCAGAGCTGGCTTGTATAAAAAACAGGTCTCTTTTAGCTAATAGGAAAATACTTTAATAACAATAAAGTAACAAATGGTTAATGGTAAACTGGTTAAGAGTTCTTCCTAGTCACTATAACACTAGACCTCAAGTGAATGAACCAATTTCCAGTTAGCATTTCCTTTATTTGGAAGCATCAGCACCATCTTTCTCCAGCAGCCCAGGAAGATTGAGCTGGGGCATCAAGGACTGGGTAGGCTTCAGTGAATGAAATTCAATGATTCTATTAACCTCACTTTTAAAAGAAATTTAAGTCATATAACTTAAAGGGGTACATTTACTGAAAATTGGGACAGAAAATTAACCAAATGTTCAACCCCACGCCCACCCCCACCCATCACTGGCAAACAAGGTAAGCAAAGGCTTTCCCCCAAATTACCTCTGACTCTAATGTTTTTGGGGACAAACTAATCCAAGAGGCCTGTGTACATAGCTTGGCCCACCACTGACTGCTGATTTATTGTGTTATTTTCTACATGGTAAAACAAGGTACTACTGACAACCAAGACAATAAAGGCCTTTACACTTCAGAGTTGTTCTTTTCATATTCCTTTAGTTACAGCAGCTTCAATTTAGAAGCTCAGAGGCAGTGCCATTCCCTGGACTATCACAAAAATCCAACCTGCTACTTAAAAATCTGTTCAGAACACACAAGTCCAATTAGTCTTCCAAAACCAAACCAAACCAAAAGAAAATGAAAAAAAAGCCAGATTTGGGGGCCGGGGGCAGGGTGCCTAGGACAGAATTCTCTCTTCCTTAATGTTCACTTCCTGTGTTGTTCAAGAAAAACAAGTTGGTGGTGGAGCCACCATTTTGTGGAACAGTGACATGCAGGATCTCTCACTACGGCCTCAAGCTTTCTCTGATGAACACGACAGAATCAGTCCCAAGTACAAACAGGGCAGCGATGAGAAGGAAGACCCTTTCCTTGTCAGCTTCTCTCCACATGTGTGCTTCCACCAGCATTTCCAGTTTATGATCCAAAAAACTCTAAAATCGGCTACTCTGACAATACGACTATAATACAGATGCCAGGAGACAGCCGCTGTGTGCATTCCAAATGTGTATGAGAGATCGCCAGTCTGCAGAAAGCTGGACATTGGCAATGCAGTGTAACCTGCCTATGAGAGAGAATGCTTTCCCACTTCAAAGGAGACTATGACAGGCAGAACAACGAAGCAGCAGAAAACAGGGCAACAGCAATCACTCATTTTCATCTGGGTTTTGAGGGTCAATGATTTTGACGTGTGTAAAAGGAAAAAGCCCTTTGCGCCCATTCACCTCACCTTCCCACTGGCCATTTATATTCATTCTGGTGACTTTCACAATGTCACCAACCTACAGGGATGAAGAAAGAAGACAAAGTTAGTGTTGCTCTGAAAATATGAAAAATCACAAGCATTATCCAAAGAAATTAATTTTTTCCCAACAAGAGTATGTCTGCTCTACTCAAATTCATATCAGACGGAAGTATTGTCACCAAGACTCTGAGCAGCAATGATGCCTCCCTGATCTGTCCAATTCTTACTCCCTTTATGGAGCAGTCACTGGGTGAAGCCCAGTTCTGAGCATCTTAAAATGCAGGGTGATGGAAATTCTACCTACTGCCAGAGGATAGGTACCAGATAAGGTCTGCTCATCAAGAGAAAGCAGGAATTTGATTTGGGAAGTGGTTTTCAAACTGTTCTGGAGATCCACAGACTTCTAGGAAGGTGCTTTAAGGGTCCAAGTCTATTTGGTACCTGAAACTCAGTGGCACTCTATCACGGAGATACATCCTTAGTCCTATATTGTATTTTATTTAGAGACAGGGTTTCACTGAGTTGCTTAGTGTCTTGCCATCGCTAAGGCTGGCTTTGAACTCACTATTCTCCTGTCTCAGCCTCCAGAACTGCTGGGATTACAGGCGTGTACCACTGCACCTGGCTCTAATTTTTTTTTTTAAAGTACATTTTATAAAGTTATTATAAAAAGCACATTCAAATTTTCTATAGTCTTTTTGGCATACTGCCTTGGTAATTTAATGTAGACCTTCCTTGGAAAAAAGCTTTTCTTGCAAAATAGCAAGGTCAAAGCTTAAAAACAAACAAAACTATTTTTGTGTTTTGTAAACAACAACAAAAACCTACCACCCCTTGCAACAAACAAAGTCATAAATAAACTGGATGCTGAGGGCAATAAGACCAAATCTACCATTCATAATGTTATTTCCAACTTTTCCTGCCCAATACAAAACTACCATCCCCCTCTTTTTTTTTAGTGCTGGGGATCAAACCCAAGGCCTTAAGCATACTAGGCAAGTGCTCTACTACTGAGGTATATTCCCAACTCCTCCTAATTCCTTTTTTTTTTGAGAGAGAGAGAAAGAGAGAGAATTTTTTAATATTTAATTTTTCTGTGGACACATCTTTATTTTTCATTTGTATGTGGTGCTGAGGTTCGAACCCAGCGCCACGCACGTGCCAGGCAAACAAACACGCTACTGCTTGAGCCACATCCCAGCCCCCTAATTCCTTTTTTTAAGAGAATTTTTTTGAATATTTATTTTTCAGTTTTCAGTGGACACATCTTTATTTTATGTGGTGCTGAGGATTGAACCCAGCGCCCCGTGCATGCCAGGCGAGCGCATTATCGCTTGAGCCACATCCCCAGCCCCCTAATTCCTTTTTAAAGCAATTCTTAGGTATGGGTAGTTCAGCAGCAGATTACATGCTGAGCATTCCTGAGGCCCTGAATTTAATTCATTGAACCACTAAAAAAATAAAATTTTCATGTTGTAATTTGGGTTCCATGTAATATTCCATTTGAAAAGAGTCGTCTTCTGCTCCCAGTCTAACAAATCAATTGTGGAGGCAAATTTAGAAATCCACCTGCCACAGCTGGGGGCCATATAGCGTGAAGGCCAGTTCTCCAGGAGCCTGCCACTGCATTGGTTCTAACACAGGCCTTCGGAAGCATTACATCTGCCTTTCCTGGTTACTAGGTGGGTCACTACACTTGGAATGGTAGATTCCAGGTGCCCAAAAGACACATATCTTGCCTCAAGTTTGTTAATTTCAGTTGACCTAAGTTACATATATGGCAAATCTGAGAAAATAAAACTTGCCTTCCTGAAAACCCCACCCCAAGCAGCCCTCTCCCACCTCTTCTTGGGTCAGTTTATCCCACCAGCCTAAGAGAATGTGCTCTCACCTCTTGCTAATCACTCCCACCTTACGTTCCTTCCCACAGCCTCTCACTATCTGGCTCTATCAACCCAGCCATGAAGCTTTGAGCCATCTGCCACCATCTATGTTACATGAGCCAAATCATCCCAACTCCCAACCTCCTTTCCTCCAGCTATTGCTCTCATTCACCAAGACCCTCCTGATGGCCCAATTCTAGTGCTCTACCTTTCTGATGTTCTGTGACACTTGAAGGCAAAGATTTCACCCACTCTCTCCTTTCCCTCTGGTCCTCTTTTGTGTGGAATTCTGTAAAGTAATTCCACCAGTTGAGTTCCCACTGATACTTGTAGAAAGCAAGCTTCTGTGAGATCAGGACCTTGTCCTCCAAGATTCTGGCAGACATGCCCAGTGAAGCTCCATTCTCTCTCTGCTCTTCTACAGTCCCCTCTTCACTGCTAATGCATACCACTACCATATGGTCCTCTGAAGGAGGGAAACTGCTGAATCATCCTGCACTCTGTGTATGTTATGAATCTCTTACAAACTAGTTTCTGGGAAAGTATAAGAATTAGGGAAAAGATTAGAAACTAGTAGGCCCATATACCTGATGCTGGGTATAAACAGCCAAGCAGTTAAGCAAGGTTCTTAAGGGCACAAGTTGCTGGTTTAAGGGCCTTAGAACAGAAAGATTGATCTTTTAAAATACAAACAAAACTAAATCACTGCTTTGCTATTTAAACCCCCTCTAACTCCTTCTTTCTACACTCTGATCTTCATGGTTCTGCCTAATCTGGCTCTGCCACCTCATTCCATGCCACTCTGCCTTTCCCCTCCAATCACACTGGCTTCTTTTCTATTTCTCAAATTTGCCAAGCTCTTTCCCAGATATAGACTATATGACAGGTGCAAGGATATGCCATTATACTTTTAACATCTCAAGAAGTTAAAAAATCACATTCCAGGACTGTGGATGTAGCTTAGCAGTCGAGTTCTTGCCTAGCATAAATGATGTCCTGGACTCCATCCCCAGCACGACAAAAATAAATAAATAAAAACCTCTCACGTTCCTGGCTTTTGCCTGGAATCACCAAGCTAATACCAAGAAATCTCAGATCTTTTTTTTCACAGTTGAAGACAGAAACATAAGTGACTCTTAACAAAATCAAACAAGTCCTAAAGACTACTCAAAGGTCCCCTTGAAGCCTCTAATGCAAACAAAGAACACATGAAGGCCCTTCAGGCAGCTCCCAGTAGTCTTTGCAGATAAGATGTTTACTCTGCTTAGAGCCCCGGGCTATGTTCTACATTGTGTACTGAGGATACATAAAGACACAACTTGAATGTAAGACATACCTAAATAAAAATAAGATCTAAGATCTACAAAAACTTTGATCTCCTTAGAACAAATATAAAGTGGCAACAGTGAAGCAGTCCATCATGAGCTTTAAAGCATAACAGAACTGTCTGAAAGTCCTAGTTCTGCCATTTTTAGTGGCTCTGTGACTGCAGCACACTGCTTAAGTGACCCCAAGTCAGTTTCCTTCTGACTTTAGAAGGCTCTTACAATATTTAAATGAAATATGACATGGGAACTATTAACTAGAACACCCAAGAAAGTAGATGGTAATTATTATTAGAGTGGAGATTCCTGAATAGAGGTCCCTCTGCTGGCCATGCCCTTTGGAAGCACCAAGGGAAGAGTGGGAATCAGTCAAGCAAGGTTATCAACCTTATCAGTCACAAAGTAGCCTTCAGAAATGAGGAGGGGACAGGAAAAATAGCATTTGTGAATGAGAGATGAGGGGAGGCCTGAAAACACAAGTCTTATAAATTGTGATAGATACAGCAGCTGAGGAAGACAATGAGAAGACTGAGTTAAAGCACGTATTGAAACTTGCCAGGAATAGTCATACCTCAGTTAATTGGTGACTCTGGCATTCTTTACAGGATATTCTCCACAAATCCTAACTAATCAATTTAATAAAAGTTACTAAATTTCTACTGCTTGTAAAATGAACAGGTCAGTTCCTATCCTCAAAAAAAGTTTTGTCCATTGTGGAATGGACAATAAATAATCCACTATAGAAATATGACATGGCAGATACTCATTGTTTGTTATGTAGCAACACAGTATAAAAACAGCAGTACTAAATCGACACTACAGAGCTCAGGAGCAAGAAGCTATTGCTTCAACAGAGAGAACTTGGACCTGCAACAGAGGTCAAAGAGTAACCTAGGAAAAAAAGAATGGTTTTGAGTTTTCCAACGGCCATTCTGGCCTTGCAAGAGTTTCTTTCTTTCCTTTTGCTATGAATCCAGAGGAAGGACACTGTCTTATACTAGAACAAGGAATAATGAATAGAGCAGAAAAATGGCTGTTAGAATCAGAGATTGAGTGCTATTTGATAGAATTGTGGAAGAAGCTGATCTACAGTCAGGATTGTACAGAATTGTGGGCAGCAGGCTATATAATACTCAGGACATCTTTTAAGTATCACACTCAATTTAGAGGGCAGATCAATCTTGAAGTGGTTGGGTATCAACCTGGTTCAAAGAGTAAACTTAAGTCTGGAAGATGTCACTGACCCTATCAATAGACCAAGAGGAGGCATATAACTGAAAAACCATCTTTATAAATTTTCACCATATAAAACAGGACAATCTGGGCTGGGGGTGTGGCTCAAGCGGTAGCGCACTCGCCTGGCATGCATGCGGCCCAGGTTCGATCCTCAGCACCACATACAAACAAAGATGTTGTGTCCACCAAATACTAAAAAAAAAAAAACAAAAAAAAACACAGGACAATCTAGGGCTGGGGCTGATTGGTAGAGCGCTTGCCTAGCATGAGTGAGGCACTGGGTTCGATCCTCAGCACCACATAAAAATAAATAAAATAAAGGCATTCTGTCCATCTACAACTTCAAAAAAAAAAACAAAAACAAAAACAGGACAATCCGAATCATTATTAGAATTGTCCAAAGGGAAAGTAGCCCCAGTGGTAGAGCACAAGTCTGGCATGTATGAGGCCCTAGGTTCCATCCATAGCACTAGAAAGAAAGAACAGGAACAGGACAGGACAGGAATGTCAAAATGGTTATGTTTTTATCTATCTACATTTGAAATTGGGAAATAAACATTTGAGCATATATACTAGGATCAACAAACTGTTGA